ACCGCTTTCTGTCCCATGACGTCTCGGACAACCAGAATCGGAACGTGTGTGTGTTTTATATGTGAAAGTAAACAGCTCCTTCTTGTAAAATTAAAAACAAAAACAATAGTAATAGATGTTTTTCAAGAATAAAAACAAGATTATTGTACAAACCTCTAGAATATTAAATGTCAAGATTTTATGTAATGTTAAACGTCATTATCGTCAACGCATATCATTTAGCCTTGTGGCCTTTTTTTTTTTTTGAGACAGAGTCTCGTTCTGTTGCCCAGGCTGGAGTGCAGTGGCGCAATCATAGCTCACCGCAGCCTTGACGTCCTGGGCTCAAACGATCCTCTGGCCTTGGCCTCCCCAGTAGGTTGGACTACAGGAATGAGCCACAGTGCCTGGCCCTGCGTGGCTTTGGAACCTGCTTCACAGAGCTGGAGAATTCCTCAGAGGCATCCCGGAACGGGGAGGCTGAGCTGCTTAGGTTCTGGGTGGCCCAATCAAAGTACCTGGTCACATGTATTTGGGAAAAGCTCAGATGATCCTGACATACCATATAGCTTGAGGACAGCTGCTTCTGGTGGCAGTTTATAAAAAGGGAAATGTTTTGTGATATTGTAAATGACTAATCACCCTCATCATCTGATTGCGTTGTCATTAAATGTTGGTCCCCAAAACATCCCTCATCACCATTCTCCCGTAAGCGGGGACATCATTCTCTGAAGCTCCCCTTGTTCCTGCTGCAGTTCTTCCACTGCATTTGCTTTCCTGGAGAGGTCAGCATGGCAGTGCGGGGATGAGACATATCACAAAAGGGGGAGGATAGCAGCTGGGGCCATTCTTCTCTGCCCACCTCCAGAAATTTCCCAGCACAAAGGGTGGAGTCCAGTACGCATGGTAGGTCTTATTTCCTCGTTGGAGGTCGTATTCCAGTCTTCATCTGCAATTGGATCTGGCTTTTGTTTGGATGACAGTTGAGTATAGCTTGGTTTCTGGTGGGTGGCTAGCCCTGAAGAAGAGAGAGCTACAGTGAGCATGACCAGTCATTCAACCTAAATTAGCTTCTCCCCCCGCTGCTAGGTGGGGGCAGAGCTTCCTCAAATGTGTTTTAGGAAGATTTTGACACCAAATTTTTAAAATGCACAGAACCAGATAAGAGTAAGTGGTTACACTGAATGATATCAGTTAAAAGTGCAAGAGAAAAGAAGCGAAAGTGCAGAATTATACCTTTTAAAAGGGTTTATGCAAATTATTATATGTACAAGAGTGTCTTCTCAACCTGATAATTTCAGTCACCAACGGAGATTTTAGTATGTGCGGGTTCCTATGCCCTACTCTAAACCAATCGAATCAAGGTGCGTTAATGTTTATCAAGGTCTCCATGTAATGATCAGCCAGACTATAGAGCAGCTGTCTTATTTAATAGAGCTTAGTGTCATGTGTGCATCCTTATTTAAAGACAGAGGCTTACATTTACTTCTAAGAAAGTAGGAAATTCATAGTAGGACAAAATTCACAAGGGGAAAGGAGGGTACCAGGCACAAAGCCAAAAGGGTCTGGAGTGAAAAGGAGCTGATGGGAAAGTTTGGAGGCTGATAGGGAAGCCAGGCTTGAGGCAATGTCACAGGAGGCCAGTGAAGGAGGTTGGCAGACTGAATCAGAGAAAGATCAAATGACTTCCCTTCCAGACCCATGAGAGGAGGAGCAGTCATCGCTCAGATACGAGTTCTGGCATGGCTGTGGGGAAAAATAGTTCTTATTTTATAATCACACAAAAAATATTTAGAAGGGCAATTAAAAGGAAAATGCAGTGTTAATGATAGGAGACACAATATGTTAAAAGGCAAACCTGCGGTGAATACGGACTTTAGGATAGGGTAAGACATGGGTCTGTGTGGTTTGTTTGACCACCTTTCAAGCTAAATTATACTAAGTTTAACTGGTGGATAAAATATGGAAGGACAGAAAATCTAATACCTTTTAATTTCACCATATACATATAGTAGTTGATTTACACACTTTGTGGGTGTATCTCTTCTGTAGACCCATTCCCTCCTCGAAGATAAAATGAATGTGGACAAGATAGATGGCCTCCCCGAATAACAATGAAATGGTAGTGGATAAAAGTGGAATGGCTTTTAATTTGGGGGAAAAAAAAGCCCAGAATTTCAACGTGTAAGTGCTTATGTTTGCCACAGGGACATTTGCAAGTGAGAAGGAGATGACCCGCCACAAAGCAGGCACTGCTGGCTACAGATCTCAGAATGCTGCTGGTTCCTGCCCAGGGTCTGCCTGAAGAGCTCCTAAAGATAGCCTTCTGTTCAGGTTTCCCTCAAAAGCCATCTCAGCTACTTTATCCGAATGTCAGTGTTCATTCATTCATTTGTTTAGTACATCATTACTAAGAGCTATTATCTGTGCCAGAAACTCTGGTAAGCACTGCGGCTCCAGTGGTGACTAAGGTGGATGTGGCCTCTGCTCTCACTGAGCACACAGGCTAGCTGGGGAGACAGACATATTAGTTTGGGGCTTATTGGATTTTGAAGAGCCAGTGGCATCCAAGTGGAGTTATTCAGCAGCAATTCTAGTCATTTCCTAATTTTCGCTGGTAAACAAGATAAGATTGGTGTTCTAAGAAGTAAAATAATATTACATAGCATGTTACAAACCATGCTCCATTATTAAATACAATTTCATGATTGATTTTTGGTTGTATGCTTAAGGTTTGGAACCCTTTAGACATTTTTCTTCATGTGGTTAAATTCGGGTTTTGTGCAATAATTTATCCAAATGGAAGCATTGGGTCCTTGTCCAGGATTGTTATCTCTTTATGAACCTTGTATCCATCCCTCCAAATACACCTTTTCTTCAAAGTATGACCTACTCAAATAGTACCTTACTTCTGATACTTCATAGCATTTGGGAGTTTACAGAAGATATTTACTCATTATTTTGTTTCTTTCTGACAACTCTGAGGAATGCAGGGCAGGTGATGTTTATTTATTTACAGATGGGGAAGCTTAGGTTCATAGATACTATTACTTACTTGAAGTCACAGAGCTAGTAAATGGTGGAGGCAGAAGTGGAACCCAACCTGAGGGGCTGTTTTTCAGGAGTCAGGTCTATTTTTTTTTTTTTTTTTTTTTAGGCTTCCTGCCAGTATATTTGACTTGCTGGAAAGAAAAATAGAATTTTTTTTTTCCACTGAATTCCTCCAGTTGTGATCAAAGAAAAAAGTTTTAATCCTTTAATTTCTTACTTTTTGTTTCCTGACTCCTCAACAAATTAGTTAACATGTAGTAATCATTTTCTGCATAGCAAACAGTTGGCTATATGTGAGATGGAAAAATAAAGCAGATATAGTTTTTGTTACTGAGAAGCTCAGTCTTCTAGGAGAGACCCGTACATAAAAAAAAAAAAAAAAAATCCCTGTGCAGCGTGGTTAATGCTATGAATAATGAATGAGCATAGAGCTGTGGGTATACCAAGGATGTGATAGTGGCCTGAGCCATGAAGGAGGACGGGATGGGGTGGGAGGTTTAGGAGGCAGTGGAGGACGATACTGAGTAGAAGGAAGAGCTGGTAAAAAAGCTTGGACACAGGGAAGCCTGGTGTATTTGGGGATTGCTAAGTACTTCTCTTTTACTTTACTGTTAGGGGAGCTTAGGGGGATTGCTGAAGATGGGGCTAAGGAAGTTGGGGCATTTGTGGACAAAAGAGTCTTGTATGCCCAGCTAAGAGTTCTGGAATTATGTGGGTGATGGGCACACTTAGAACATATTGAACCAGAGTTTGGCAGGATCAAATTTTTAATTCAGAGATAATTTTGTCCACAGTGGGAAGAATGGACTAGTGGCAGGAAAAATTGATACCATGGAGAGCACTTAGTAAACCGCTGAGTTCAAGAGAATTAGAGGAGCCTGAACTAAGGCAATAACAAGAGGGGTGGAAAGGGATGGATTTAAGGAACAAGAACTTTTCCATAATAAATAATGCTTAGGATGAGGATTATTGTGATGATTATATCTTGACATATCATGTTTTAAAGAATTACATATTCTTTTGTATCCGTTGCCTCACGTGTCATCATAGCACATAGTGAGATGCAGGTGTTATCTCCATTTCAGAAGTGAAAGTCTTAACCGTAGAGGCTTAGTTTGACCATTAAAGATGGTCAGATAGGTTCATGATGTCACAGATTTTGTACAGACACCCAAGAAAGCCAACACAGCTTTCCTGGAGTTTATATGACAAATAAGGAAATATATAGGACAAAGAAAAATCCTTTGAGAGGACAGACTAGATAGTAGTTGGAAGAGATAGGAAAGAAGTGATAGAAATAAAATGTGGAGTATTGAATCTCCCGATCCACCTCTCCCATTACACCAAATTCCATTCCCTAGAAGAGAAGTGCAGGTCATACTGGGACGTGACTGGTAGAAGCTAGAGGTTCTTCTGGAATTCTTGAAGGCATCTGTAAAAGACATGCATCATCACTGACCTTTGCACTTTACACACCTGTTTAATGCTCCTCTAAAAGCCAGCATCAGGCTTTACGAAAGGCTCATCCAAGGGCTGTGTTTAAAGTCACATTCTCATTGGGGCATTAAAGTGGTTTTCCATCTAAGCAGCTTCAACTTGTGACACAGAAGCGTTTCTGAAATTTTAGGTGAAATCCAAGAGCACCCATGTGTGTATATAATTTAAAAGAGAAATTACTTTTATTTTCTTTAAGCAAAGGGCATGAAATGAGCAATTCTGCAGCTTTAAGACATTGGTGTAAAAACAGTCTCAGAAAGCCAGCTAGATAAGAATTTATTCAACTTGTAATGCTTTTATTTTTTGAAAATGATTTTTCAAAGTCAAGTTGGTTGATTGTTTTGCTTTTAATTTTTTTAAACTAGGTTATTGGATTCCAGATGGAATCTATATGGCTTTACTGATTTTTCATGAGCGTTAGTGTTAAAATGCATGCTCTGAATGAAGAGACCCCCGACCCCTCCCCCCGCCAGCAAACAGGCTTTGTGTGAGCAACAAGGCTGTTCATTCACCAGGGTGCGAGTGGGCTGAGTCCGAAAAGAGTGTCAGTGAAGGGTGGTAGGAGAGGAGCTGGTTTTATAGGTTTTGGGGAAGGCAGTGGAAAGTTACAGTAGTTACAGTTTAGGGTGTTTTTTTGCAAGCTGGGAGGGGGTTGTAGGGTGTGGAGTCATGAGGTTGGCCAAGGTTGGTTACAAACTCCAGTGGCCTTGTCAGTTGAGGCCAGAATGAGAAATGGTAGAAGAATGTCTCAGGTTAGTTAGGTGCTGCAGGGGTTGACTGTCCTTCCGTTTTTCATGATCTTCCAGCTACTTCAGGTTTTCTAATTCTGGAAGGCCCTCCAGAGGTGTACGTGCGGGTCATGGGGGGTTGCCATAGTGTCAATGGCGCCATTAGTCAGCCTAAAGGACCTTACAGTCAGATGGTACTAAACCATTAACTGCCAGATTATATGACTAAATGGCACTTAATATAAATACTTCTAAGCCCTTTTTGGGAGGAAGGGGGAATTTGTGCCTTATCCTACAATTCGTGAACAAAACAAAACTAAAATATACTTGCTTTTAACAGATTCTTAACTGTATTTCTTACATTTGTTATTAACTTTATTATTTTGGTTGAACATTAATATCAAACATAATAGCATGATTTTCAAAAAATGAATCTTTGTTTCTTCACTTGGTACGCTCATTATTTTGAAATATTTGGAACCACGTGCTCTTTTCCTAACCACACTTTGATTATGTGATTATATTTGCTAGAGCTGTTACAAATTAATCACTTTTTGGTTATGCTTGTTCTTTTATAAGAAGTGTTTGTTTAGCCATACATAAACAGAAGTTTATTTTGAGGATTCACTTTCATGTGAATAACTGCCTCCCAACCAAATCTTTTTAATCACATCTCTTAGAGGAAGGAAATTTTTTCCTTTTCTTTTTTTTCTTCAAGAATTTCAAATTAACTGTTTGTGTAACATAGAGAGATTTGTAAATTGGTGAAGGCACGGGCTATGTCTTATATATCTTTATATATACACCACAGCCTCACACAGCACAGGAGATTAACCCATGCTTATGCAAGATTTGAAGAATGTAATAATTGTACAGAAAAAAACACATTATTTGCTTTGAAATGACTTTATAAGGAACATCTCTAAATGAGCAATGTTCTCATAAAAAATCAGGATAAATAGACATTTTTTGCCCCTCTGCACATATGCCTTTGAGGATAGTGTCCATTTTCATACACATGAAAAGAAACAGCCTCAAATCTGCTGAACCCTGGAAACCATAAAAGCATTTCCAGACTGTGTTTCTTATTTAATCATTGATACCATTTCCCCTCAATCAGGGGCCCAGGGCTTTCCCGTTTTCTAATTTTTTTCTTTGTTTTAAAATACACAGTTACTTTACATACTATTTTATACTGTCACTAAAAGTTGTTCAGGTCAACTCAGCCAACATTTATTTATGGAGGCCCTATGATATGTTAGCTAACGCCATAGATGGTGATGTTACAAAAATGAGTAGGATGCAGTTTTTGCTCTCCTAAAGGCCATGACCTGGTGAGACCCTAAACATGTGGATGGATGCCATTCAGTGTCATCGGTGCTGTCACACAGACAGGATGGACATATGAGAGAGGCAAAGGTGGGCGTGGTGGCTTCTTCCTAGGGAATCAAGGAAACCTTCCCAGGGCCAATGGTGCTGGATGAATGTTAAGATGGATAGATTTCAAGACAGACACATGGAGCAGAGGATATGTAGGGCAGAGGAAGGAGGCTGGGAGGGCAGGTCATGCGGTTAGAGGGCTGTATAGGGGCCTTCTATGGTACGTGTAGGAGCTTGGACTTTATGTAGCAGGCAAAAGAAAATGAATGAAGGGCTTGAAGCAGTGGCATAATTTAATTAGATTTTCATTTTAGAAAATTACCCGCATAACCATGGGAGAATGAAGTAGGTTATTTGCATTTCCTTAAAAGAGTACTTTTAGAACATAAATAGACCAAACATTAACTTTTCTTCCCCATTGCCTTAAGCAGAACTTTACAAAAATCCCAATACACCCACTTCTGCCATGTGAATTTCCAAATGATTTATTCTTTGGCCAAGATATATTTTTATAGCACTTTAATGTTCTGTGTTTATGTTTAAGAATTATGGGCTACCTACCTTGGGTGACACAGATGCTACATTACTTTCCCTAATTCCCCTTGGCAGTGACAACAGGCTTCCGGTATTTCTCCTCAGAGCATCTTGAAATAGGACTGTATTGAATGGGCATGACTGGGCTGCATATGTTAGGCATTTTCAGGAAAAGAAAGAAAGAATTTGTATGTGAATGAATCTGAGCAAGTGTCTGAAGGAAGAGGAGTGAATTTAGAATAACAATAGACTAGTATGGTGCCACTTGACAAAGCTCAGAGATGTTCCTCTTAGCCGAGGTGGCTTTCCAGGATCTTGCAGATCATCTGCAGTCTGGCCCAAAAAGCAGTCCTGCAGTAGGTGCTAGGCCATAGGTCTTCAGTTCTGAACACGGTGAGATGGTGCTTCCGTGGCATTTAATGTAGTTTCTTTCTCCTTCTCTCACTTTGTTAGACTAGAAGCTATATTACCCTCCTAAAGGCTTTTAGCCCTATCCCAAGGACTTTCTTGGATATTTACAGTGCCGTAATCTCCTTTTTTTAAAAAAATTACTTATATTATGGTAAAAAATGCGTAACATAAAATTTACACATTTATGTTTTAATGTCATTAAACATAAATGCATAATTTGTGTTTAATGATATTAAACATTTATCATTAATCATTTCTAAATGTGTATTTCAGTAGCTTTAAGTATATTCACATTGTTGTGCAATGTAATCTTCATATTCCTTTCTGATCAGGTGAATGATTATTTAACATACTGTTAAGTCTTGATTTTTATACCTCTTATTTTTTGACATTCTCTTTTTAATCATAAATGCTGAATCAATATTCATCAATATTCTTTTTTTGAAGAATAACTCTCTAAAAGTACTGATAATACAACCTTTGATACTTCCTTTCCACTGTGGTTGTATTTTTTCCCATATTATCTTTTGACCTCTTTCTATGTTTGTGTCGTTTTATGAGTCACAAGTGCACACATCATGAAGTGTTGAACCATGAAACTGGATAAGACATTAAACACTCTGCACTGCTGTTTGGTTATTTCAGGTTATTGAGGTGTGGGTGCTAATTGAGCTTTCCTAGTCTGAAGTGAAAACAGTGTGTTACCTGAAGGTTCCACATCTCCAATCTTGGTTTGAAAGTAAACTAGGACTGAAAACACAGAATGAAAATATATTCTTTTGTGTGTTGAAGGAATGAATATTTGACTTCAAATTAATTTTTCTTAGGATAAGCTTTTCATTTTTATAAAATAATGTTTAATGATCTTGGGAAGAATAACCTTGTAGCATTTCTTCAAAAATAAAATTTTCAAATTGCATAAGTAATTATATTTCAAACTTTCAAATTAGAAAATGCCTGTACATTTTAGGATATGTTTGATTATACGATTATTAAGTACTGCTGAAATTGCAACAGAAAATTGAAACTCGAAACTTTTCAGTTATTGCTCTCTAACCTCAAGTAGTATCAAATTACGCTGTTTCAAATGATATGGGAGACCATTCAGCTAACTGAAGAGAAAGTTTAAAAGAATTAATATTTGTTACTTATAACCGTATTAAGGATTGATTTATTTAAAAAACAATAACAAAAGCTAATACAGTTATTTAAAAACAACAACCAAAAAACTAATTCAATTTATTGTTATATGGAGGCCATCATTTTTAGTTATGGTGGATATCGAAAGTTCATGAACACCCTAAAATTGTATGTAATTTTTATTGTTTGTATTGTATGTGTGCATGTGTGCATGCATGCGTGCATATTTCTGGAGAGATAGTATTCACAACTTTCAGTAGATTCTGAAAAGGTATCTTGATCCAACCAAAGTTATGAACCACTATCACAGAGGTTACTTTGCCCATTTTTCCTTTTTACGTGCATACCCCAACTCACAACTAGATTTTGTTCCAGAAGTAGTTTGTTTATGAACTGGTTGTTTGGAACTTAGACCACAGTTTTCTATGAAAGTAATAATATATATTACACACACACACACAGACACAGACACACATGTACATCAGACATTCCCTGACTTACAGTGGTTCAACTTAATGATTTTTCAATTTTATGATGATATGACAGCAATATGAATTCAGTACAAATGATACTTTGAGTACTCATACAACCATTCTGTTTTCACTTTCGGTATGGTATTAAATTACATGTGATATTTAATACTGTATTAGAAAATAGGCTTTGTATTAGATGATTTTGCCCACCGGTAGGCTAACATAAGTGTTCTGAACATGTTTAAGGTAGACTAGGCTAAGCTGTGATGTTTGGTAGGCTGAAATATTAAATGCATTTTTGACTTATAATATTTTCAACTTATGATGAGTTTATTGGTATGTTCATTGTAACTTGAGGAGCATCTGTACTTATATAAATATTATAGAACCTTAACAATGGTGGTACAAAGACAAATGAGATAGACTTCCTGGACTCCAAGTAGTTTATAATCTAGGCTAGGGTAAAAGGCAGGTGTAACCTACCCTTAATTGAGATTGCCCTCCTAATTTAGCAGTGACTTTCCTGTTCATTTTTCTGCAGCTGTGTCAGGATTCATTCCTTCTCACCACTACGCCCATAGAAGTATTAGGCAACTGGTATCCTTGGGATTCAGAGACTTGATAGAATAGCATGGGGACTTAAGCATTAAGGCAAATTTATGACATGGTTTCTATGGAAAGATGTACTCCTAGTTCTAACTTGGAACCCAGGTTCCTGGGACACAGAGAGTCCTTCACTTGGAGCCTCGTTAGTGGATACTGTCTGTGTGATGAATGAAGAGTACACTCACCTCTGCCATGGAGTCTCTCCCTTAAGAATCCTTTGCACAGTTAGCCAGAATAAGGACTCTCTCATTACTAGTGGCTGTTTGTATTTGAAATACTCATAAGTCAGACTTTTCTTTCTGAGGTGTGGCATGAAAATTTCTCCCCACTACCCCAGTTAGGTTCTTGATGAGGGATGTGATAATTCTTTGTAGCTAGACTACATAATTTCTAGTGGAACTTTTATAATATATATTGGTTATTGTCCAAAGGGAGAAGTGAAAGGTGAAAGAAGGCAGCGAGAAAAAGTAGAATGAGAGGGCGTGAGTGCTTCATGACGTCACCACAAGATTTAGCATCTCATTATTCTACATAAAGGGTGGCAGTCTCTTAATTCATTTTTTGCTTCTTAGAACACCTGAGGCTGGGTGATTTATAAGGAAAATACATTTTTCTTACAGTTCTGGAGGCTGGGAGGTCCAAGGGTATAGGCTGGGCATCTGGTGAGAGCCTTCTTCCTGGCGGAGACTCTGCAGAGTCCCAAGGTAACACAGAGTATCACATGGCAAGGGGGCTGAGCATACTAATATGCTAGCTCAGATCTTTCTTCCCCTCTTATAAAGCCATCAGTTCTACTCTCATGTTAGCCCATTGATCCGTTAACCATTAGTCTATGTATGGATTAATCCATTCATGCAGGCAGAGCACTCATGATCCAATGACTTGAAGGCTCTAGGTCTCACTGCTGCCACATTGAGGATTGTCAACATAAGTTTCAGAGGGGACATCAAATTATAACAGACAGTGTCAGTCTTTCTTGATAATTCTTAATGTTTTCTACAGGTCCTGGGAAAGCTTTTTAGATTAGGCTCTTAGCATATCATGTCATTGCATATGATGTATGCACATATTTTGAAACATGGATCAAGAAGATATGCTCCACCTATACAGGTAAATAGGGTGAAATTTTGTCTTCAGAGAATATAACAAATTCATGTTTCAGAGTTAAACATGAATTTACACTAAGAATTATAATTAGCCAAATAATTTTACAAGACATTCTGCGATTTGACTAAAAAATGTGTATGATCCAAGACCACAATAATTTTTAGCCTCATAAAAAGATGTGAGTAACTTTAGAAAGGACAGAGATTTGGATTAGCTTGTACATTCACCATTTGCTACCGAAAAGCCAGCATAGAGAACTGTGGTCTATAAGTCACTAATTCCTCAAATATGAAGGTGCCTCTTTGCATATCATATATTTCAAAAAGTTATACATTTTATGATGTTCCTTTAATAGTCTCTATCTACAAAGTAATTGCTACAAACCAGTATTTAAGATAATTATACCGGTTCATATTTTCTAAAAAATAAAAAAGCAACGTAGACAGAAAATTAGCAGCGGAGCAACTGAAAATTAGAATGACTAGATTCTATGTTGAGATTAATAGCCATGCATGTACAAATAATGTTTTTCCATAGAAAATAATCTTTGTGACTTTGGGTTAGACAAAGCTTTTTAGATTTGATGTGACTCATAAAAGAAAAAAATTGATAAATAGGACTTCATCAAATTCAGGATCCTCTGATCTTCAAAAGATGCTATTAATACATTGGAAAAAACAAGTCACAGACTGGGAAAAATATTTGCAAATCACATGTTAGATAAATGTCTTGTTTATAGAATATATAAAGGATATTTAAGATGCAAAAATAGGAAAACAGCCCAATTTCGAAACTGGACTAAAGATTCGACCAGTCAGTTCACCAGTGAAGATGTACAAATGAAAAAATAAGCACAGGAAAATGGAAATGTTCAAAACCAGTAGTCATTAGGGAAATGCACATTAAAACCACAGTGAGATACTGTATACCTATTAGAACGCCTAAGATGAAAGTGACCGAGTAAATGTTGTTGAGGATGTGAAGCAACTGTTGGCAGCAGACCGGTTGTTGCTGGGGACAGGCAGTGATTATAAAGGGATAAAGGAAAGTTCTGAGTGTGGGGAATATGTTCAGTATCTTGATTATGGTAGTGGTTTCCTGGCCATGTTTGTATGTCAGAACATGTCAAATTGTACACTTTAGGTATGTGCAGTTTCTAATATGATCTTGATAATAAAGCTGTCAATTTTTTCCCCTGTAATATTGCGTCCTTTGGTTTGTATTTCTGACTTAATTGGTGATAACATAGATTTTTTTCCAGGGGTAAATTCTGAAGATATATGACCATTTAAAATATACAAAATAATTGGATGATAAATATAGATTTTTACTCTTTGTGGTATAAATTTTATGTAATAGATCTGAATATTTCTGATAATTTTGACATGCAGTTAATACTGATATGCACTTACTATAACACCCTCAGCCTCAATTGATTTAAATTTTATTAATTTGGCTTATTTAGAAATTTCTATCATTATTTGTTTTTCCTCTGTTTTAATACCTTTGTTATGAATCTGTTTTAACTTTTATTGTTATAAGCAAAACATTAGTGTAATGTATGGAATAAAAGGTAGTTATAGAATACAAGTCAGTGTGAAATTGTTGGTACGTGTTACTTCCTTTCTGTATTGGGATTCCATGTAATGAAATATTGCTAAAATAAATAGGCTTTGGGATGGGACTTGGGGACCTTTTAATTCCTGCTACAGAGAGTGGTGGTAACAGTGTATTTGGTGATAGGGTTTGCCCGGTGTTTACGTGGGTCCTGGGCTCTGGTGTTGGGAGAGATGATAGACGATAACCTATTCCACCCCTGTATGTTAGCTGGTATCATGTGGTAGGACATTGAAATGGTGGTTTACTCTATAAAAATGAGTTCCAATTTAAAAAAAAGGAAGGGGAGGGAGGCCTTAGAATGCTGGCATTAGATCTTAGTTTTTTTTTTAAGAGTTTGTGCCTAATGGGGCGTGGAATTTCACTCCAGCAGCACTTATAGCTGCTGCCACATAAAGCTTATTAAGGGAAGATTTTCTCCCGACACCTGGCCTCTCTCCCTGCTTCCTCTCAGGAGGCCTCTCTCACCATTGCTTCTGTGTGGACTCCAACAGCTATAATTGGTTTAGATGTGCCGCGAGACCCTACCCGAGTCTTGGGCAGTGCTTTCCCACCGTGGCTGCCATTCGAATCACCACCTCCTTTCTCACCCGTTTCCCCATTGTCACTTTCCTGCCTTAAACATTTCACTAGCTTTTTGCACTTAGAAGAAAAAGCACGCTCCCTGTTGTGTGCAGCATATTCTGACCCTTGTCTCCTATAACCTCCTCTCTAGATACAGTCCTCCTACTCCAGCTGTTATTTGTCCCGACAGTGGCTGCAAACACTTAACTTCTTCCAAGAAGCTCTTATAATTTGATGCCTGGCAAATACTCTCTGGACTTAATAGCATAATGATATCATAATAATAACACTTTCTGCCATCTGTTGAATGTTTTCTCTAACCCAGACAGTGCGCTAAGTGCTCCACAGGCATTATCTTATAATTAAGTCAGACGCAACAAGCTTGTGAAGTTGGTATTATTATTTCCAATTTTTAGGAGAGAAAACTGAGGCGTAGCGTTGGAGTAACTTGTCCAGGTTCATACTGTTATTGTGTGCTGGAGCCTGGCTTGAAATCTGTCTGTCTGACCCTAAATTGGCTCTTTGGTACTGACTCAGAAGTGTTTTGTTACCATTAAATTGTAATGATTCCACAACAGTTTCTGGAAGACAGTCTTAGAGCAAGCTGTAAAGTTCTATTGAAATTCAAAGTAAATATTAATGCAACTTAACCATCTTACTGGAGACAACAAACTTTTCTCAACATATTATGTCTTTATGGTAGTAAGAGATAGTATTGTGTAAAAGTTGGAAATGAACTGTGGAATCAAACAGACAGATATGATCTACATACCTGCCATTTATTCATATAGATCTCATTATCGTATGTACCAGATAATATTCTAGGCCACTGGAGATATTGTCAGTGTGCAATCCAGTGGGATGATTGAAAATTTTGGTTCTGTACAGATGCTGTTTTTGTCTTGGAGTCTCACAATAGAACCATAACTCTTTTATTGAATCCTGTATAAATGTGATCCATCTTGGACCCTATCCTAAGGGGGTCTGTTTAAGTCAGTGTTGTGACATGGCCTCTAAGGTAATCCTACAGGAAGACTCTAGTGTAGTTTGCTTTCTGTTTTCCTTTCTTTTTTTCCAATTAAAATGAAAAATTAAATTTATTAGATATAATAAACTCAGAGACCTGATATTCTAATGGAGTAGCACAATAAACATAGTAAATAAGTAAATTACGTTCTGTGTCACAAGATGGAAAGTACTTCGTGGGGTGGGTAATAAGATCAGGTTGGGGGAAAATATGCTGAACAAGAACAAGTTGCAGTGTGAAACATGCAGTTTCTCAGGTGGGTCTCATTGAGATGGTCAAGACCTGAAGGAGGTGAAGGGGTCAGCCAGAGGGAATCTGAGGGAGGAGACGGGAGGTAGTGCCAGCCTGCAGCAGGAGTTTGTAGGCCCTCTGCAGAGCAAAGCAGCCATTGCAGTAGAGGAAATCAAGAGAGAGAAACGCTAGATGAGGTCAGAGAGATTCAAAGTATTTTGCTGGTGAAAATGAAATGAACTAGCCTACATAAGGCACTTAACCAGAGCCTGGCCCAGGGCTACAGAGCCCCTGCCTGCCTCTTCCAGCTGCATCTCCCTCTGCTCCCTCTTCCAAAGTCTTCACTGCATTTATAACAGATGGCTCTTTGAAGGTGCCCCAAATATCCATGTTGTTTTCACCTTTCTACTTTTGCAAACACCTAAAATGCCCTTTGTCCACCTCTTGTCATTTGGATAAACTCCTTCCAGACTCACTTTGGGCCCTGGTCTGAAAAGACTGTTTTGACTCCCTCTGAGGCAAGCTGATGCTTCCTTCTCTGGAATCACCCTGCACAGTACTGTATTTATATTTGTTAGAAAAATAACACCTGGCTGATGGTAACTAGCATTTAATGAGCACATACTGTGCACCATGCACTAAGTCCTTTATTGTGTTTTTCATTTATTTCTCACAACAATCCTATAAAGTATGTCCTATTGTCATTCCCATTATACAGATGAATAAATAAAGCCATGAAGAAGTTGGGTAATTTGCCTGAGATCATCCAGCTACTCAGTGGTGGCACCAGGAGGTGAACCCAAGGTTTCTGGCTCCAGGACCTATGTTCTTTCATAACCTTTATATTACACGGCACCTCCACCATATTTACTATATACAAGGCAGTATGCACATAACACTGTATTGCAAGTATTTGTGTATGTGCATGTGTCTTTCCCAGTATTTGTGAATTCTTTGAGGGCAGGGAACCATGTTAAATTCACTTTTCCTCTTTGGGGCTTTGCACATGTGCAAAGCTGTGGTGAGCATATAATATTCTCAATGTAATTTGTAAGACATGAGACATGCTATTCAAAATGTTAAAGAAAATGTGCCATTGGTTATGAATTTCATTTGGTTTTGAGGTTCATTTTAATCGTGTCATTGTGCTTTTGCTTCTCTCCAGACCAGTATTAAAGAGGGACAGCTACTGAAGCAAACCAGTTCTTTCCAAAGGTGGAAAAAGCGATACTTCAAACTTCGAGGCCGCACCCTTTACTATGCAAAGGACTCAAAGGTAACTCGAGAGAATATGAGTTTCAAGCATTTGAGGCTATGGACGGATGTAAAGTTTTGGTCTGTAAGCTGTTTTGTCTTGGAAGTGCACTATAGCATTATTCTCTTACACGAATTCAATATAAATGTGATCCATTGTGGACCCCATCCCAAGCGGGTCTATTTGAGTCAGTCCCGTAGCATGTCCCTAAGAATAATCTTTTAGGAAGGCTCTAGTGTAGTTTCATTTCTTCTTTTCTTCTTTCTTTCCAATTAAAATAAAGCATTAAGTGTAACCTTATTAGATGTAATAAACTCAACATTTTGGGTTTCCTCCTTTTACCTTGTACACCTTTACCTAGCCTTGAGAGAGAGAGCTGCCGTAGTGGCTAAAAATTCATGCTCTGTGTTCAGACAGGAGCTCACATCCCACGTGCAGCATATTCCAGGGGTGGCTGTGGACTGCATGTGCTGTTGAGAGGAAGCCTAAAGGAGAAAATACACATCGAGAGCTTACATAGTACCTGACATAAAATAATCACTCCAGCATGCTAACAATTAGGGATAAAAATCATATTGAAATCAAATCAAGACTTAAAATAATTTTTATATAACAGTTGAATCAAATAATAGTAATACAATTTTGGGAGAAGCAATTTGTAAAAACTCGTATTTTAGTATTGCTTCAAAAATAAACATTAGGATTTCTGGCTACTGTGCCTGTTGAAGAATTGATTATTTTCATTTTAAAAAATGTGTACTCCAGATATAATTGGTAGAGTTGTACACCAGGAGGTAAAAACAAGCAAACAAACCTAATTCTAAGTTTATGTATCTATAGAAGTAATAACCATGTAAAATAATCTCATTTTACAAGTCATTATGTTCAAAATTGTCCCTGACCTGGCTCCATCCTGATTTTTCACATTTATCTCTAGACAGCATTGGCTATTTGACAGCCTCCAGTTTTGGCTCATGCTACCATCATTAGGATGACTTTCCCCCCATCTGTACTTGACAAAGTTCCCTGTTTTCTTCAAGATCCCCTCAAATAGTGCTTATTCCATGATTCACAAGAGAGAGAGTTCAGTTGTTTTCTGCTGGATAAATCATCTGTGACCTTCTATAGCATTTCACTGTATTTCTTTTCACTCTTAATTGTCTGTCTTACCTTAAAGTGAGTTTTGTCTGTTTAATCTCCTGTGGTACACTGTAAATTCCTTCCAGTCAACGAACAAGTCTTAGAGTCAGATTGGTTAAATTGAAGTAGACTAGTTGTACAGTCTACTTGAGTTTCAAGTTCAACTGTCAACTACTTAAAGTTTTAGTTTCCGCAGCTCTGGAGGTACACCGGTATGCCTGCCTTGCTGGAAGAATGCTGAATGAGTATGAATAGTGACTGACTAAAAGTGGGAAACATACATTTATTTACTAGGACCTTGCATTTTAAGAGTATACAGAAAAAGTCATCTGCTACTTGCAAAGCAAATTCATCACCTCATTTGAACGCATAGTTATAGTCCTGAGCTAAGCCAGGACTAGCTCTCAGCTGTCACCCTGCAAATCTGGAAACAATGATACTGCCTCTGCCTCCCTGGCAGAGTTGTCACAAGCTTTACAGAGACTGCACTGTGCATGTGTATGCCACACACTCAGCAGGTTCCCGACAAGTGGTAGCTGTTATGCTTCCAGAGAGCACAGAACGTTTGTATTGAAACAGTGTTCCCAGGGGGTCTTTAAAGTTCTTTTCAGTTTGGGATTTATGGATTAGTTGTGCTTTATGCTTTTATTTTTCGTTTCTAAGAAGAAATCGCAGAGAGTATCACTCACTTAACTTTTTCTATTCCTAATTCCTGATATAGCTTCATAGTCATGACCCGATAGTAAAAAATGTATTGAAGAACATTGAGTTAGGTTTTCTTCTAATGTGTTTGTGTTTTTTTTTCCTTAACAGTCTCTGATATTTGATGAAGTTGACCTCTCAGATGCTAGTGTAGCTGAAGCAAGCACGAAAAATGCTAACAACAGCTTCACGGTATGGTTATATTCTGCTGACTCCCTTCTCAAAAGTGATAGAATGACCTTTCTCTTCAGCATCTACAGAATGCCCTGTTCAGTTACAAAGTGTTTTAACTTATGCATGTTGGAGTTCCTACCAACATAATCAACTTTCAATACATTGTGTATTCTAACACCCAGTACCAGTTATGACTCAGTTAACCTGGGGTTAAATATGCTTTTTAAAAATTTTACAGTTTTTCCTTTTTAATTTTAGTGCTTTAAGTTTCTCACTTCCTTTAAATTAATACTTCCATTAATTCCATTGTTCTTGAGTATTTAAAAAGTTTGTTTACCTTCAGTCTTAAAGACAATATTTTCTCCATCTAGTCTACTTTCACTCCATTTCACTCCAGTTGCCATTGTTCAGTCAGTTGCTGTTGTTCAGGGCTCCACTTCTCACTTAGGTAATTCATTTGGCAGCTCTGTTCCAGTGTGTTCTTTTCTGATGACAGATCCCATTGCTTCAAAAGACCTCACTGGTTCCACATTGCCTGCGAATTGTGTCCCCAACTCAGTCTTCAGATCTTGTAAGATCATGCTTCAGCATTCTAGTAATACCGGACAATTGTTTGTCCTCCTGTGTCCCATTAGTACAGCAGCTTTACTTTTCCTGTTCCCTCTGACTTCAGCGATTCCTTCCCTGTCTGTTACTGTGGGAATACTACCAATTCTTCAAAGCTTATTTCAGATAGCCCATTTTTTCCAACTTCTTTCATTCACAAAGTATGGATTGAGTTGCCACTATGTGTTAAGCACAAGAAATTCAGAGGGGAATTTCTCTCAACATATACCTGGTGTTGTTCAGCCCAAGTTCATGTACACTGAACTTATAACCACATACTCCCTAGGTCCTCAGAGGTGCATTGTTCTTGCTGTGTTGTCACCCCCATCTGTACTCCCTGTCCTCCCTGGAAAGCCACCATTCCTGACAGCAGCATGCAGTGTCCATCCCCTAGGCATGCCAGGGCAGGGGACACAGACACAGGGCAGGTGCACAGCAGTGCCATGATAGAGGTGAGCACTGGTAGGGGTGGAGGGAAGAGAGGACGCGAATGAATTCAGATGTAGCCTTATTGATTTATGGGCATGTGGGATAATTCATAGTGTAAATATTCCTCTCCATCTCCCCCCATCCCCAGGGAGAGTTTAGTTTGAGAAGAGGAAAGCCAAGAATAGAGTCCTGGGAAAATGTTAAAATTCAAGGTTTAACCAGTAAAGACTGAGAGCATTCTTAAGTAAAGGAGATTCAGGGGTCAGTGATGTGTAAAACCAAGTGGAAGAGAGTTTCAAGATAGATGCTTTGACATGTCGTATACTGTAGAGAGGTCAAGTCAAAGAAGAATTAAAAAGTGATGCTTCAGCTTGTTAACTTGGAGATCATTTGGTCCCATTGATGTGAGTAGTTTCAGTGTGGGGCGGGGCTGGGGGGCAGGCATCAGGCTGCACTGTGAATGCAAAGTGAAAGGCAGGCAGAGACAGGGTATGTAACTGTTTTCTAAAAGCTTGGCAGTTAAAAGGAGAACAGAGATAGTAAAATGTTCAGGTAAGAAGATGATTTTAGTTTTGTTGTTGTTCTTTTGCTGTGTTTTAAAAATGATCTTGAATGCATTTATATGAAGAGAGGAGGAATACTTAGAACCAAAAGTAAGCTGATGGATGTAGGAATCAGAGCACAGGTTAAGAAATCAGCATTGAATGGGAGACAGAAAACTTATGGAGGCAGGTGTGGCCCGGAAGTTTATGTATTTCAAAACCAAGTACTGATTTCTCAGTGCAATTGAAGGGTAAAGTTGTCTGCTGTGAGTGAAAGTTGAGGATGGTTAATAGTAGCTTCTGTAGAAGAAGAGAATTGAAACTGAACAGGGACCTATAGATGATTATTAAGTAGTGACTGGGGTCTACCAAAGATTAGAGATCAAGTTTAGTAATGTCCTTACTCCCTGTGCTTATGACATTTTCTTTAAGTGGGAGTAGAGAACAAACAAATGAATTGATCCAGGTTTGATGGTTTATAGGACATATTGAACAGAAAGAAAAAGGGAGGGATTGCTAGATATTTTAGAGATCGATAACTCATCCGTCTCCCTGCTCTTACTTCTCAGTTTTTGAAAATACAACACAAGGAGTAGGGGACAGCTTTGGCTGAACGGCATCCAACAACCACTAAATACAGAGCTTCTGATAAATTGTTGGAGACCTAAGGCCAAAATGTTGCTTATTCCTTCTTTCTCCCACTTGAAGGTGGGATAGGGTGAGGTGAAAGAACTTCACCAGTCCCACTAGTAGGATTAGCCACTTGCTTCTCCCTGAGCAGTGAAGAATAATCCTCTTTCTGCTGGAGCCTCATGAAGGGGGAATAAGGGTTCCCCCAATCAAGATTTATGTATTTGTTTTTTAATGCTTTTTAGTTTTTTAATGACAAATAATGATTGTGCATATTTATGGGATACATAGTGATGTTTCGATACATGTAATATACAGTGATTAGATCAAGGTAATCAGGATATCCATGGTCTCAAACATCGACCATTTCTTTGTGTTAGAAACATTCAGTATTCTCCTGTAGCTGTTGGAAGCTATAGAATATGTTATTGTTAGCTATGGTCATCCTATGGTGCTATAGAACACTAGAAATTATTCCTCCTATTTAGCAAGAATTTTGTATACTTTAAGAGTTTGATCTGAAAGAGGGTTTCAAAATTTAAGATTTGAAGCATGCATTAATTTCAGGTGAAGATAAGGTCTAAGGTTTTGGAGTAGGAAGTATGGGTTTTGGAGAGATTATTCAAATCCTTTGTACAGGTCTTTATTGATCCTTCAACTAGGCATGTGATCTTTCCTGTAGTATCTTTCTTACAGAATTTAGCATATGCTGCCTTATACTTAGTTAAGTACTTATTTTTGGCTAGGGACAGTGGCTCACACCTGAAATCCCAACACTTTGAGAGGCTGGGGCAGGAGGATTACTTGAGGCCAGGAGTTTGACACCAGCCTGTGGAACGTAGTGAGACACTCATCTCTACAACAGAAACAAAAATTAGCTGGGTATGGTGGCATGCACCTATAGTCCCAGATACTTGGGAGGCTGATTGCTTAAGGAGTTTAAGGCTCTAGTGAGCTATGATCCCAGCCTGGGCAACAGAGTGAGACCCTGTCTCAAAAAAATTTTTTTTTTACTGTTTATTTTTACTATAACCTCCTTGAGGAGAGGGACTCTGTCATACCTTTTTATCTCATAGTGCCTTATCCATAAGTATTTATTGATTTTAAGTAATAAGATGAAAGTTTATTTTAGGCATATGAAGACTGTTTGTTGAAATATTTTCAAGAAGTTTCTTCATTCAGCCAAACACTATCTTTGTTTATTGGACTAGAAATACAGGGACTGGTTGGGCACAGTGGCTCACGCCTGTAATGCCAGGAATTTGGGAGGCTGGTGGTAGGATCTTATGAAGTCAGGAGTTTAAGACCAGCCTGGGGAACATAACATAGACCAGCCTGGGACACCCCGTCTCTATAAAAAAATATATATACAAAAATTAGCCAGGTGTAATGGTGTATGCCTGTAGTACCAGCTCTTCTGAAGGCTGAGATGGGAGGATTGCTAGAGCCCCAGAGTTTGAGGTTGCAGTGAACTGTGATTGTACCACTGCTCTCCAGCCTGGACAACAAAGTGAGACCTTGTCTCTAAAACAAAACAAAACAAAACAAAACAGAAACAAAAACAAATATAGGGACTAAAAAGGCAGATTGCTTAGGGTTTTAGAGCAAATGAATTTGGTAGAACTTTCTAGGGTATAAAACGGAGCAAGAGACATGTTTTTAATCAGCAATTGACAAATCTCCCTGTCTTTAAATATTTAAATGTCTTACCTATCTCAATTATTGTGACTGCTACTGATGCTGTTATTGTGGCTTGTTCATGTCAAAGGTTAATGTTGTAGTTTGATGTATTATGGTTGGAGGAGCCAGGGATGGCTAAATTCTACTTCATTTCAGCCATCCCTCCTCTTGCTGAAGTTTCTAAGGGTGATGTATTGACAAAGTACAATAGTAAATGGAAACTACATAAATAGTAAATGGAAAATGGAAAACCTGTACTTTGCCTGAAAACGCAGGGCTGCACTCTGGTAAAATGGGTTCTAAAATGCAGGGCAGTGACTGACCTAACCTGGAAAATTCTTCAGTATTGTTTCTGTGACATTCAATTGGTATGAGTGAGTTAGGCTTCAGCGGGGGACACAGACACTAAGACAGTCCTGTCAAAGGATTGGGAGATGATTTACATACAGTATGATCACTCTTCCTTTCTTGTACAGTATTTCACTCCCATCTGTGGAGTTAATAAGTTTTTTTAGTTATCTAAATTGCCTCAGGTATTGTATTAGTTTTCTATTGCTGTATAACAACCAACCACAAACTTAGTGGCTTAAAAAAGCAATGCCCATTTATCTCAGTTTTAATAGGTCACATAGTGTTGCTAGATTCTTCTGTTCTAGGTCTTATGATGTAAATAAATAGATATGGGCTGGGCGAGGTGGCCCACATCTGTAATCCCTGTACTTTGGGAGGCCAAGGTGGGTGAGTCACTTGAGGTTAGGAGTTTGAGACCAGCCTGGCAAACATGGCAAAACCCCGTCTCTACTAAAAATACAAAAATTGGCTGGGCACGGTGGCTCATGCCTGTAATCCTAACACTTTGGGAGGTCCAAGAGGTGGATCATTTGAGGCCAGGTGAAACCCCCATCTCTACCTAATATAGAAAAATTAGCTGGGCGTTGGTGGTGCATGCCAGTAGTCCCAGCTACTTGGGAGGCTGACACAGGAGAATTGCTTGAACCTGGGAATCTGAAGTTGCAGTGAGTGGAGATCGTGCCACTGTACTCCAGCCTGGGTGACAGAGCAAGACTCTGTCTCATAAAAAAGGAAAAGAATAGATATGACAAATTTTTATGTATACTTTTATTGCCTCAA